GGGGGGTTTTTGTCCAGTTGTTATCATATGCAGATATTACATTTTATAAATGCGTAATCAGTAACAAAAAGTGTTTTTTGTTACTGAATATTTTAAACACTGTCCAAATGTTCTCTTCTCAGGTGCACTTTCATCTATGGCACGCCCACCATGTATGTCGACATGGTCAACCAGCTGGACCTCACTAAATATGACTTGTCATCAGTGGTGGGAGGTGAGAAAAGAAAATGATTTTTAAAGTTCATTTTCATATATATATATATATATATATTTTTTTTTTTTTGCATTCATTTGCTTCTGTTTGTTTACATCTTTGAACTTTAGGCATCATGGCTGGTTCACCGTGCCCTCAAGAACTTGTGAAGAAAGTTGTGTTTGACTTGAAAGTGAAGGAAATAACAGTGAGTCTTTTTTTGTCCGCCCCTCCCCCTCCCCTCCCCTCAGCTCAATGTTTGATTTATGAGCGATTTAATGGTGCAGTTTAACCTTTGCTCACTAGGGGGAGACAAATCCTCAGAAAAACGACATAATGGAGTGAGTTCTGATTTTTAAGGTAGAGACACAACAGTAGGCGTCTTGTAGGAAGGAATCTGTAAAACGTTTATTGGATGTTAGCACTTCCAAAAGTCCAGGCTGAATATACATGAGCTATGTCTGAGGAAACCCTCTGATTTGCTGTTAGATGCTTGTTTAAAAAAAAGTGAAAAGTGACAATGTCTCACAAAGAATTTGCTACAATGATCCTGCATTCATCTTCTTATTGACCAGGGTAGAAAAAAGATGGCGATTCACTGATCTTGTCCTCACTTTCAGTCTTTTTGGCCACTCTAAATGTCAGTGAAGGTGTGCATGCAGAAACGAGGATAGATAAAGTGTCGTTGTTTGTGCAGCTCTTCACGTTATCCTCTGTTTGAACTGAGCTGTTTTCAGCTCCTCCACCTTTTAAGCCAACTTTTGCCTGATTGGCTGTGTCTTGCAAACAGAAGGTTGAAACAGGAGCTGAGCGGGGCTTCCTCAGAGAGCCACATTGAGGGTATCAGCTCATCTGCTGGGGCTGAACTTGAGGCTCTTTAAAAACGTGGTTTAACATGTTGAAGAAGACACTTTTACCAAGAGCTGAACAGGAAGAAAAACAGACAAGCAAGCAACCACGCACAATGGATTAGGTGACTTTGGGTTAATGGATGACGGGTGTTTCCAGTCTTTCTTTTTAAAGCTTTAAAGACAAGAATGGAAACAATCTCATTGACACATGAGCTTATTTTAAGCTCATGTGTTTTGTTTTGCTTAGACTGATTTGCGGTTTGTCCATTGTGCTGAAAAATTGAATGCACAGGGACGGGATGGCAAATCTCTCCTCAACGTTTTCCTCTTTTACTTAAAAGCATCCCTTTTTTCCATCCCGCCTGCTTCCACTTCATGCTGAAGTCTTCGTCTTTGATATAAATGAATGAGAATTATATTTAAATCAAGTCGATGCGTGTTTGTGTGTAACTGAAGCAGATCAAGGGCGACGTGTGTGTCTGTGTTTATGCTGCTGACAGCCTCTGGCAGATGAATAGATGGAGAGTCTTTAAGTAGAAACAGTTAGCATTGCTTTCATTGTAGCCGGTCACCTGGACGGGCTCCTGCTCGGCGTCTCCTGTGGGAGAAAAGACACAAACTCAGCAGCCAAGTCAAACAGTCGGCCCTCCAACCAGAGACCCCGTGACCTGGACTCGGTGTGCTGGACCCCAGGGCCAAGATGGAAACGTTCAGTCTGGGATAGAGGGGGAGCACACGGAGTTCTGTGGTCAAAAAGAGAAAATCATAACAGTGCAACGCCAAATCTGAGCTACTCCAAAACCACCTTAAACCTCATTTGGGAATCCGCTGTCACAATGCACCAAAGTCCAGCTGAAAACCTTCCATCACAGCCGAGATGATGATGACTTTATACTTGCACAAAACTGCACATCAGGCGTTTGTAAAGGCCAGCGAGCATTTAACTGTCATTTAACGGTCTACAGTTTCCAGTTAATTATCGCTCTTTCAGAGATGTTTTCACAGCTATTTGTTTATCTGTCAGTAAGGCTGTAGAAAAACTACAGGGCTGACTGTTATGAAACTTGGAGAGGTGGAGCGGAGACAAAGAAAGAACTCATTAAAGTTCTCCATGTCAGAGTGCTCTTGTTTTAAAATAAGCATCGTTTCACAGCCTGTGTGGGAAGCAGATTCCTCTTTAGATGTCTTGTCTTTAGGAGCTTTTAAAGATGGGAAATTTGACACTGATCACATGTTAAAGTTATGATCAGCTTGGCATCAGACACTCAGAAGCTGCTTTGCATACTTTGCATTCTCTAAAATGATTTAAATACAACCTCAAAAGAGCCACACATGACAGATTAACTTGTAGAAGTGACTTTCTCTGTGACTTGATCAGACTCTCAGATTGCTGTGTTGCTTCGGTTCCCACCAACGTATTTTAATCAGTTTGAGGTCGGGTTCATTGCAGCGTCTTGATTCTGTTGTAGATTTGCTGCTGTGCTTTGGATCGTCGTCCTGTTTCATGTCCCACAGCTAAAGCTCGGCTTACAGAGGTCCTCACATTTGACTCTAGAATACTTTCGCGTTCAGATGAGTTTATGGTCGACTCGAGGACTGCAAGGTGCCCAAATCGCCACTTCTCAACCACTGTGCTGACAGTTGGTACGAGGTGTATGTGCTGATGTTCTCCAATCTGTGCATTATAGCCAAACATCTCCACTTTGTTGCAGAAATCTTTCTTTAGCTGCAACTTTGCAAACGAGCCATCATTGTTCAGTCTAACTGTAGAGTCTGAGGTCTAGCTCTTCTGCAGTTTTGCATGCTCTGATCTTGGGATAATTGTTAAAATAAAGGACGACACAATTTAATGTGTCACTGTTTGAATTTTCTGCTGAGTTTTTGTCTGCAAAATATAATTAATGTCTTTATTTTGTTTTGCAAATAAAAATGTTAGCGTTTATGTCTAAGTTAAATTTGTCCTCACATATAGTTGTAAAAAACTTCGTGTTTTCTCGACTAGAGCAACAAGATCATCACTGGTTTGTTATCTTTTTCTCTTATTCTGGTCTTATAGAAGGCTTTGAGACCTGACTTGTTATAATTTACATCAGAAAAGCTCAACTTAAAGTGGCGGCTGCGCTCCCTGCCTCATCTGCTAAACAGTCAACACAAGAAAACAATCAGATAATTACAGAAAAAGCTCACTGGTATTCCCTAAAGCCCAATCTTATTTTTACTTGGCAACAGGAAAAACAGACAAAAGAAACAAAAAAGAAAACCAACAAAACTGTCTTCAAAACTACTTAAAATTGCTGACATAATCATTTAATTTATCAACTGCTGTATTGTGGAGGCAATTTAAAAAAAATAAAAATAAAAAAAGCCCCTGGAAGTCAGTGATCCCAAACTCTCCCAAAAAGTCAGAATATTAACACCTAAAAACCAAAAATTGTTTTCTTTAGAACTTTTTTTTTTCGATATTTTAATCGGTGAGCTTTAGAGGTGCTGATGCTCCAAGCCCAGGTTTCCGGTCTTCATGCACCACTTCCTGGCTGCAGCTTCATATTCTGAGTAGTAATCTACATTTCCTCTTCTCGTCATGGCTTGTTCGGTGGCAGATACCTGTGGGCTGTGAGTTCATTGGCGCATGCCCTTTTTGGCCCTCGCTGTCTTCGGTCTGCAGCGCTTGAAGCCAGTGACGTCTCTGACCTGCTTGCCCTTATGCTGATTCGGAGATGCGCACAGTGCATCTGGACGGTTCAGGCTTGGGATCGAGTCCATCCACCTGCAAGAAGCCAAAAGATGAGAAGCATGAAGGAGCATCTTTCTTATTTAATACAGTGTGTGAACCTGAA